CACTAGGGGACACTGGGAGACATGGGGCACTGAGACACTGATACATAGGAACACTGAGACCTGGAGTAATCGACATATGGGGGGCACTGGGAGACATGGGAGGAATCCATCTATACAGCAGAATCAAACTAAGTAGTTTTTTGGTGATTTTACAGCATTTTCTCTTATGTCACTCCTTGTGATTTACATCATGAGATGTCACCCATACATATTTAATAATGCAAATTAGCAAAGCCGGTATGTTTTTCCAAGAAAGGTGGCAACCCTAACTACTTTTCACATACCCTTACTTAAGAGGGATGTATGGGAACAAAACTTGTGTGGACTGGCTGACAATGAATATAGTTAAAGGGACACTAGAGTCACCAGAACAACTACAGCTTATTGAATTTGTTCTGGTGAGTAGAATCATTACCGTCAGGCTTTTTGCTGTAAACACTGTCTTTTCAGAGAAAATGCAGTCTTTACATTAAAGCCTAGTGATAACTTCACTGGCCACTCCTTAGATGGCTGTTAGAGATCCTTCCTGGGTCATGGCTGCCTAAAATGCATCCAAACATTTAGCGTCTCCTCCCTCTGCATGCAGACACTGAACTTTCCTCATAGAGATTCATTGATTCAATTCATCTCTATGAGGAGATGCTGATTGGCCAGGGCTGTGTTTGAATCATGCTGGCTCTGCCCCTGATCTGCCTCTTTGTTGGTCTCAGCCAATCCTATGGGTAAGCACTGTGATTGGATTAGGCCACCACTTCTAATGATGTCAGCAGACTGCTTGTTTTTCTGAGTCTAACAACATGCAGAGTTACAGCTTCAGGCTTGAATACAGTAAGATTTTGCTATATTTATGGAGGCATGACGGGCCCAGGGGGGCTAGATGGTGGTGTTAACACTATAGGGTCATGAATTCCTGTTTGTGTTCCTGACCCTATAGTGATCCTTTAAGGTAATGCTGACTTTGGTCTCTCTAACAATGTGGCATGTTCCCTTTCTTCTACACTCACTACATACAGCTTTTCTCTGTCCCAGACTATATACCAGGAGCGTCTGCCTGCTAGTAAGAAGGTAAGGAGACAAGTGGACCAGCGAGTGCTAGGGGACAGTCCTTAGAAAGCGTTGAGCGAGTGCATCATTAGATGCATTTATGCCAAGTCAGGGTGCTGTTTGCATAGTATGCCCTTAGTTGGCCAGCTGCATGATGAATGACATGCATTCATACCAGGCTGGCCTTCTAATTCTTTGGGCAGACATATCCTCTTTTTGGGCATGTTCGCCCCTTTTGGCAGGTTACGTGATTTGTGTCATTGGCACACCCGTGCGGACCCCGTTTGTGAGTTTACAGCGTTCCCTTGCTTGCGGTTCGTATGATTATACTGGATACATTGACTTCCTGCTTGACTGGACACTTAAATTAGTAAAAACATAAATTAGTGAGAAATTAGCCTAGGGTATGTGTTTTCTTATAGCTGCTGTTTTCTTTCTCTCCAGCACCATCTCCATCAGATACATGACGCTTGGGAGTGTTTTACTGTTTTTGGTCGATATGATTCTGTAATTAGGCCCGTCATAATTGTCAGCACCAGGTCCACTGGGCTCTTAATCTGGCCCTGCCCACCCCCCCAAATAAAAAGTCCCTACCTACCCCCCTCACCCTAAAAAATAGTGAGGGGGGAATAAAATAACTAACCTGTAAAAGGCCAAATAAAAAACCATCATAACCGTCGAACTAAAAAAACGACGAAAAAGTAAAAACCCGAGCGCAAAAAAATAATCCATCTTCACCCATGGAGGGCTCCGCGCAGACTGAGCTCCGCAGGGCGGGGGAAGGCTTATAAAGCCTTGCTCCCCCTGCAATTAGGCTAAGAACACTCTGATTGGTGGGTTTAAGACAATCAGAGTGCTCTTTGTCATTTTACACAGCGTGGGAAAATTCAAAATAATTTTCCCACTGTGTAAAATGACACAGAGCACTGTGATTGGACGGCTTGAAATTCATCCAATCACAGGTTTTTTATTTGGCCTTTTTTGGGGCTGAAAAATTAAGATTTGAGAAAAAAGAAGACGTTGAATGGTAAGTTTAATTTTATTTTACAGGTAAGTTATTTTATTCCCCCCTCACTAGGGTGAGGGGGGTAGGTAGGGACTTTTTATTTGGGGGGGTGGGTGACTAGGGGCTTGGGGACCCCTAGTCACCTTGGGGAGAATTTACTTAGGCCCGAGCCCAGGGTGGGCCGGGGGAGGACAGTAGGTCTCCCCCCTCATTATCAATATGGCCCCCACCCGCCACGCAGGTCCCCCCTCGTTATCAATATGGTCCCCCCTTTATTGTTCATTTTAGGGCCCCCACCCACCGCTCAGGGGTGGGGGCCAGGGGGGGACCTATTCCCCCGTATTGTTCATTTTAGGGCCCCCACCCACGGCTCAGGGGTGGGGGCCGGGGGGGGACAATAGGTCCCCCCCTTATTGTTCATTTTAGGGCCCCCACTCACCGCTCAGGGGTGGGGGCCGTGGGGGGGACAATAGGTCCCCCCCTTATTGTTCATTTTAGGGCCCCCACCCACCGCTCAGGGGTGGGGGCCGGGGGGGACAGTAGGTCCCCCCCTTATTGTTATTTTTAGGGTCCCCACCCACCGCACAGGGGTGGGGGCCGGAGAGGGGGAGGACTGTAGGTCCCCCCCTCATTATCTTTATGGCCCCCACCCACCAGAAAGAGTCCCTGTGGGTTTTAAAAATCGCCTGCCTATTGAAGTCTATGGCGGTTCGCCGGGTTTGCGAACATTTGCAGAAGTTTCATGTTCGCGACAGCACTAGTCACCACACTCCCACTGCATTGTGTTGCACAGGAGGGGGCAACTCCCCAAAACAACAAGGATCCAGCTTGTCATACTGACTGGGAGTGGGAAGGGAATGAGGAGGGAGAGCAGTAATTGAATGTTATATGAGGGGACGCAATTGCAATGGCTTCATTAGCTTATGGACTTAAAGAGAGAAAAAATGGAAAGGTAACTCAAGAATGCCTTGTGGACAGCAGCATTGCAAAGTTGGAAAGGGAAGAAAGGATAGTTTGTAAATAATGAAATATTATCATTACTATTGTAATATTAGTAACATGTGTACTTTGATCTTTTAGATGCCTATTCTTTTAATGGTACAGTGATAACTGGTATCATCTGTGGAACTGTCCTGGGAGTAATACTTGCAATCAGTGCAACATACTTACTGTACAAGAAAAAAGTCACTCGTTAGAAAGTGGAAAAACCAGGTGATGAGAACAATAACAAGATAGGTTTTGGAGTTATGTTTGGTTGTATATGAATGCAATTACAAGAATTGTAATATATGTATCAAAATAAAATTATATATTTTGTTATTTTCTAACATCTTATAAACTTTCACTTATGCTGTCCTGACTCATTTGCTAATTCCATGGAATAACCCATATGACGTTTGTTGTCCAGACTGCATTGACAGCTACCTGTTCAGGCAATTGGGCTGTTCTTTTTTTGTAATTGATGGGGGATTTTTCTCTAATGAACATGGCCTACTGGCAAAAAGCCCTATTCAAGTTCAAAGTTTGACTTTAGTTCTTTAGTGGTTCAGTGGATGGGCCATCTGGTTTGTGCCCATTGCAGGTACAGACCATGTGCATTGGGTCAACGGTGTTTACCCAATACACACTGTCTGCAGCTGCAGGGGACACAAATCAGAAGATGCTCCACCCAAAGGAACACCAAAGATCTACATTTCCCACAACATGGCACTCTTCAAACTTGGATATGGCTTTTTGCCATAAATATATAATTTTTCATATTATCACAAAATTACATTTTTATTTTTCAGGTTGTGCAGTTGAAACATCAAGGCACAGAAAGGAGACTATAGAGATAGCTCTGGGAGAGACAAAGAAATATTTGGAATCACATGTTGGGTAATGAAAAATCGACCTAATGATGCAGAAGTATAACTCCAGATAAATTGCATATTCAGTTGTCCTTGACTTTCTTTCTTTTTGTGTCCTTTATTTTTTATCCATGAACAATATTAGAGAAATCTTCCGTTTTCTAGGAGTTATGCGAAATGGGAGAGATCAGTTTTTGCCATCTATAAACCTTTATTAAAATAATTTCAGTGAGACATACAAACATAATAAAACAGTATACATCATTAAGTACAAACATAAAAAATACAAATGTACAAAGTGCAATGTGGTCATGTGATACTACAGACATGATAAGGATGTCAGGACACAATGCCACCTAAATACTAAGGAAATACATTCAGTCCAGTGGGCCTCATTCTTGTATTCCATGCCAGTTTGTACAGGTATGCGGAAATCGAATGCATACACAAGGTGTAGAAGCAGACATTTTATTATATCTATAAGTGGTCACAATTGATACCAGAACTGTTCTTACTAGGATGTAATAGTTTCTTCCAAAATCTGGCAATACTGTATTAGCAGCTATCAGAATGTACAGAGCCATCAGCCAAGGGGTACCCCAGAGGGAATCTAGAAACATATCAATTAATTAATATTCAGGGAGTAGGGGTAGGTGAATTTGACTCAGCTGATAAATGGATTTCAAGCCAAAATGAAGTAATACATGTAGTGAAGGGCAAAACCAAAATATTTGGAGAAAAGACCCCACAGACCTCAGGCAACTCCAACATACGGAAAGACGCCGTGAAACCATACACCATCTTAAAATTAATTCTGTCTAGTTTACCAATTAGTTTCTTAGATGCCTTTTTCATGTGGGACAAGGTCTTAAGCCATAAGTGAGTCAAACTAGTTAGGCAATTCCTTCTCCCATTGGAACATGTATGGTAATTTGATTGAGGATGCTGCAGTTACCAATTCGGACTAAGATGAGAAAATGAACCTGCGGGCATAACTGCTCTCAAGGCAGAAGAGATTTACGGCTGTGAAAGTTGAGATATCATAATCCTCCAAATGATTCATTTAAAAAAAATATGTTTACCTATAAGATACATAATTAATGCATGATACTCCTCCCCTCCATGCCCCCATACGCTTCCGTTCTGTGTCCCCCTTCCCATTCATCCATGTTTCTTCCCATTCTCCTCCATGTCCCCTACCCCTTCCATCAATGCCTCCCCTCCTCTCCTCCATGTCTTCCTACCCCTTCCATCCATACTCATCTTCCCTCCATGTCCCAATACCCCTTCCATCCATGCCTTCCCTCTTATCCTCCATGTCCTCCTACCCCTTCCATCCATACCCCTCTCCCCTCCATGTCCCACTTGCCCTTCCATCAATGCGTCCCCTCCTTCCCTCCATGCCCTCTTCCCTCCATGTCCCACCACTCTTGCATTCAAGTTTCCCCCCTCATGTCCACACTATCCCGACAATTGATTTTTGCGCTCCCGACGAGAACAGGTTTCGCCAATGGTTCGTTCACTTCTTAAATGTTAGCAAGATGTTTGTGGGAACCGGAGCAAACCGGCTGAATCCCACCATTGGTTAACATCTATCTCACCACCTCTTAAATTTCTTCCTATCGGTCCTACCTTTAGCTTTTATTTGTTGGTGCATGCTATACTGAATAAATGTAACTTCTCAGTTTTTATTTTCAACATGCTCCAACTTATGCATGTACTACTTACTATAAAAGAGGCTTTGTTCATCTGTATGCAATCTTTATTACATAAAAGATGCTTGAATAATCTATATGAATACTCTATATGTGACTACATATGCCATATAATCTTGCTATATACAACAGTTATTTTTGTCTTAGGTCAGCTATGCTCAAACATATGTCACTATTCATGTTATCTCATCTTTTTTCACATTTTATGTTTGGCAATGTCACTACTACGAAAAAATGTTGGTTATACAAATGTCTCAATAAAACATTGAGTTGCAATAATGAAGATATGTGTCGCACTTAATTACAGCAGTTACCCGGTGCTCCGGAGCAGGACCAGCAACCCCACAACGATAAGACAAAAGAAGAAATTCTCCAGGCACTCAAGGTTTTCAAACCACAGGCAGTTTTAATAGAAAAGAGCAGCAACATTTTGATCTGCTAAGAGGTCTTTGTCAAGCTAACACCACATTGTCAAAATAAGTGTATATATATGTATATATATATATCAAACAGTGTAAATGATCAACCTATAATTAACTTACACATATCTCATTTATATTAGTAATTAACACAAATCATGCAAATAAAAAAAAATATATAAGACCATTAATTTATTAATGGCTTACCCATGTGTGTTCCAGGAAGGAGATACAGGAGAAAATAGTAATGAAGCATAAAAGAAAATGAACAAAACAAAACGCTAATCGAAGTACAAAGCAACACTTCTGGTCAAATGGAATGCAAAAAAGTGTTTCCTATTGCATGAAACACAAGAGGAAGAGAGTAAGTGTACAGGGTCAGCTTACAATAACGCTAATCCAATCAGAGGGAGAAGGAGTAATCTTAAAAAAAAAACAATGCCTGCTCGTACTTTCATATGCACGAAAGGCATATTAAGGAGCTCACAAACAGAGAGTAAGAGCTGCCAGTCGTACGGCACATGCAATGGGTTGAACTGGGATCTATATGCGTATGCGTGCGGCTGAAGGAAAAAACAGGTGTGCGAAACGCCAGTACTAAGGCGCATGCGTAACATAAAGGCTGCATAAAGGCATACGTATACACCAGAAAAGGGGAACAGAACTCCTAAAGATTACAAAGGAAAAAGCAAGGAAGAAAAAGGAAAAAGAGGAAAAAAGAAGCTAAATAAAAGAAAAAGATAAAAAGAAAATAACAAAATGAACCAAATAAATGATAAACTAAAGGCAAAAGAAAAAAGAGAATAGAGAAAAATAGAGAATAGAAAAAAATAGAAAGAAAAAAAGAAAATAAATTATTATTCTTTTCTTTCTCTATTTCTCTTTTCTCTTTTTTTATTTTATTTTTCTTTTAGTTGATTTATTTATTTCCTTTAGTTTAGTCAAAAACGAAGGAGCAGCTATGCACTAAAATGCGCATTTGGAATTTTGATTTATTTTTTCACTGGGCACTTTTAAACACTCTTATTTAGTCGTCTAGTTTAGTGGTAGTGTGATTTCCTTAGCTTAGTTTAGCTATAGATGGTAATAGGTTGCTGTCACTTCAGCAACTGAGGTATCCTCTGACCTTTTCTTATTTATCTTCTTTTGTTTATCTCGTTTTCCTGTTTTTTCCTACTACTGCAGTACCTTGAGATTCATGGTTCTATAGCCACAGCTGGTTCCCCTATTTAACACTATAACGTCTTAAAGCATAGAATTTAGCAGGGCTAACCATAGAGATATATTAACCAAGAGATCCTCTATTTAAAATATATAAATATTTGAGAATACAATATAAAATAAGGATTGTCTTGGATGCAATAACATTTTGTCTTTTTAGATATTTATTAAATAAAAATATAAATATAGACATATAAAATCCATTACAATAATTTATAGCAGAGTTTATAAGAATAAACAATATGCTTGCAATATCATTAAAATAGAATAACATACCCTCCTGAACATGTCATCATGTCAGCCTCTCAGTCATTATTAGAGTTGAGCGGACACTGGATGTTCGGGTTCGGCGGGTTCGGCCGAACTTCGAAAAAAAAAGTCCGGGATCGGGATCGAACTTGACCCCGAACTTGACCCCAAACCCCATTGAAAACAATAGGGACCTGAACTTTTGGGCTCTTAAAAATTTTTTGGAAAGGGCTAGAGGGCTGCAAAAGGAAGTAAAATGGGGGTAAGAGTAGGACAAGTGCCCTGCAAACAAATGTGGATCGGGAAATCACTTAAAATAACATAAAGATTTCAAATAATCCGATCCCATTCATTGCCGCGGCTGCATCTTGCAGCCACTTAGTAGTTAACTCCCTAATTCCCACGGTTTCAGGGAGCTATCTACCAAAAGGCTGAAAGACCTAAATTGGTCTTTCAACCAAATTTACTAATAATAAGTAAAGATTTCTTAGTATTAGTAAATTCAACCCCTACTCGCTGTACCGCGAGTAGGGGCATATCTATTAAACAGTGAGTAGCCTGTGGCTGCTCACTGTAAAAAAACAAACAAAAAACTATTGCCCCCACCCCTGTGCGACGGGTAAGGGCCCTAAATAAGAATGTGGAGGGGGAGACCTACTGTCCTCCCCCCCGACCCCACCCCTGAGCGGCGGTTGAGGGCCCTTAATAACAATAGGGGGGGCATACTGTCCTCCCCCCGGCCCCCACCCCTGAGCAGTGGGTGGGGACCATATATAAGAATGTGGGGGGGACCTACTGTTTTCCCCCCAGCCCCCACCCCTGAGTGGTGGATGGGGGCCATAAATAAGAATGTGGGGGGGACCTACTGTCCTCTCCCTGGCCCCCATCCCTGCGCGATGGGTGGGGGCACTAAATAACAATAAGGGGGGGACCTACTGTCCTCTCCCCCTGCCCCCACCCCTGTGTGATAGGTGGGGGCCCTAAATAACAATAAGGGGGAGACCTACTGTCCTCCCCCCTCGCCCCCACTCCTGAGCGGTGTGTGGGGGCCATAAATGAAAATATGGGGGGGACCTACTGTCCTCCCCCGGCCCCCACCCCTGCGCGGTGGGCGGGGGCCCTAAATAACAATATGGGGGAACCTACTGTCCTCCCCCCCCGGCCCCCACCCCTGAGCGGTGGGTGGGGGCCATAAATAGGAATGTGGGTGGGGACCTACCGTCCTCCCCCCGGCCCCCATCCCTGAGCGGTGGGTGGGGGCCATAAATAAAAATTGGGGGGGACACCTATTGTCCTCCCTCCTGGCCCCCCACCCCTGAGCGTCGGGTGGGGGACCTAATTAAAATTTAACGCCCCCAGGTGACTAGGGGTCCCCAAACCCCTAGTCACCTCCCTCCCCCCCAAAAAAATAACCCCTACCTACAACCCTCATCCTAAAAACAATGAAGGGGGACCCTTATCTGAATACCTTCTAAACTCTTCTTTTTTCAGCCCCCAAAAATGCTAAATAAAAATCCATAATAACCGACGCACCTGGGGGGGTTAAATTTTTATTTAGGGCCCCCACCCGCTGCTCAGGGGTGGGGGCCGGGGGGGAGGACAGTAAGTCCCCCCTTATTGTTATTTAGGGCCCCCACTCGCCGTTCAGGGGTGGGGGGCTGGGAGGGAGGACAATAGGTCCCCGCCCTTATTGATATTTAGGGCCCCCACCCACCACTCAGGGGTGGGGGCCGGGGAGGAGGACAATAGGTCCCCCCTTATTGTTATTTAGGGCCCCCACCTGCCGCTCAGGGGTGGGGCCGGGGGGGGCAATAGGAGGGGAGAATGTATTTTTTTTAACAGTGAGCAGCCACAGGCTACTCACTGTTTAATAGACATTCCCTTACTCGCGGTATAGCGAGTAGGGGCATAATTTAACAATACTAAGTAACCAGCTTATGTAGAGGCTGGGTCACATGCTGCACTGGCCAATCACAGCCACGCCATTAGTAGGCATGGCTGTGATGGCTTCTAACGGCACATGAGTCAAACGCTTGTCGATTGGCTGCTCTGCAGCCTTTCAAAACGCGCCATTAAATTGCCAAACACCGAACTCGAACCCGAACATACACTGAAATGTCCTTGTTTGGGTCCGGGGTCCAAAAATCGTAATGTTCGATACGAACCCGAACTTTTCAGTTCCCCAGTACCCAGAGGACTCCTAAAGGTAGGGGCAACAAGCAATACAATTAATTTGTGAATGTGTGTGTAAGACTGTGTAAGTATGTGTGTGTGTGTGTGTCTGTCAGTGTGTGTGTGTCAGTAAGTGTGTGTGTCTGTCAGTGTGACTGTCAGTGTATGCGTCTGTCAATAAGTGTGTCTGTTATTGAGTGTGTGTCAGTGTGTGTCTGTCAGGGAATGTGTGTTTTTGTCAGTAAGTGTGTCTTTCAGTGAGTGTGTGTGTCTGTCAGTGTGTGTTTCTGTCAGTGTGTGTGACTGTCAGTAAGTGTGTGACTGTCAGTGTGTCTCAGTTAGTGCGTGTGTCTCAGTTAATGTGTGTGTCTCAGTTACTGTGTGTGTCTCAGTTAGAGTGTGTCTGTCAGTGTGTGTGTTTTAGCAGTGCCCTAGTCATAGCAGGGACTCTTCTCTGCTGGATCCACCAAAGTACAATCAGGAATAAAAAAATCACCAAAGAAATATCCCACCTTCTCCCCAGCAACTGGACGCACACAGTTCTAGCAGTACAACTGAACTTTATTTGGCCACACACGGCTTTTATGCCCAGTCCCCTACAAGGGGTTTACAACACAATAAAACAGGGGTTTCAATCCCAGGATCCTCTCTGCCTAAGAGATAACTGCATGAGAAAAACACACTCTAATTTAATTTTCTCTCAGGTACAACATATTGTACCTGCTCTACATAAGCAGTCTGTGTGTGACTCTGTACCTGCTATTGTTTACCTATGTTTTTATGTGACTGAGTTTGTTGTGTGTTTATGCATGG